CCCCAAGCCCCTTGAACCTGGATCCCCTTTCCCAGGCGTGCCCCCTCCCATCTCCTGGGGGCGCCTCCCTGCCTCCCAAGGGTGCCCCCCACCCTGCAGATTCTCCCCCCCTCCTTTCCAGCACCATGGGAGAGCCACGGTATCTTCAGGCCGACTACGCCTTCCGGCATGGCGGGCACACCGTCCGGCTGACCCTCGCCCGGTCGGCGCTGGAGGTGGAGGTGGAGGCTCACCTCACTGCTGACCAGTGGAGGGGCGAGTTCGATGCCACCTGTGAGTCTCGGGGGGGACACACACAGACTGAGGAGACCCCCCCACCATGAACGCTGACCAACCAAAGCTCTGCTCTTCCTCACAGTCATTGAGGACCTGACCCACAAAACAGGGAATTTCAAGCAGTTTGGGATTTTCTGCAGCATGTTAGAGTCGGCACTGATGCAGGTGAGATCAGCGCCACTCCCCCCACGCCATCACCGTGGCGTTTTGAGGGGGGGTTCAGCCTCTCCCCCCCCAAACTTTTCCTCTCTGCAGAGCAGTGAGTCCGTCAGCCTTGAGCTGCTCACCTACGCTGACCTGGAAACCCTACGTAGTCGGAAAGTGGGGGCAATCACCCGGCCCCCTGCTTCTGCCACTTCCCCGCTCAGCGCCAAGCGTTACCTCATCCTTGTCTACTCCGTCGAGTTCGACAGGTGACACAAGGAGGGGGGGACACGACACACCAGGTGGGGGGACACGGCAGAGGGGACGTCACTGTCACCCTACTGCGTGTCTGGTTCCCCCCCACGCACTCCAGAATCCACTACCCACTGCCGCTGCCCTACACGGGGAGGCCAGATCCTGCCGCGCTGCGCAAACTAGTGCGGGAGCTGAGGGATGAGCTGGCGCAGCTCCGAGCTCAGCATGGGGAGGATCGCCGAGACACCGAGATCCGGCGCTTGCGGGATGAGTGAGTGACGTGGGAAGAGCTCAGGAAACCCCCTGTCTTACGGTCAGAGCAGAGGGACCCCCCCCAAAAACACCACCCTGCCACCTCCCACCAGGCTGCAGCGGGCACTGGAGGAGAAACGGGCAGCAGAAGCAGCACTACGGCGAGAGCCAGATGGTGGGACGGCAACAACGACAGCGCTGCAACGAGCAGCGAGACGTTTGGAGGATGAGTTGTTGCGGGAGAAAGCCCGGCACCAACGTGAACACCGGCAGCTGACCGCTGAGGTGGGTTGCCGCCGGTTGGGGGGCTGCTGATGGCGCTGGGGCGGGGGGTCGCTGGCGGCGTGGTGAATTTTTCCGCTCCCCCTTCTTGCAGCTCGCAGAGGCAAAGGCGTCAGAGCGGAGGCTGCAGCTCCGTGTGAAGAGCCTGACGGCTGAGTTGGCCTCCTGCAAGAGGGGGTGAGGCCAGGGTGGGGTGCTTGGGGGCCCCCCCCATGAGCCTGGGGTGCCCCCCCGTGTGTTGTCCCCCCCCACCTCATGGCGCTGGTCTCCTCGGCAGCCGCCGGACACCCATTGGCACGGCCCCTCTTTCCCAGGAGCGATGTTCCCCATCGCGTGCCTGGCCGCCGCGCTCGACATCTCGAGAGAGTCGCGGTGGTAGCCAGGGCCATCCCCCGGCACGGTCCCCATCGCCTGCAGGTAAGGGACATTTGGGAACACACGTGGAGTGTTGTGGAGGAGGGGGACACACATGGGATGGACACAACAGTATTCACCCCCTCCCTGCCAGGCCCCCGCCCGGCACGCTTCGACCCCACCGCCTTCGTCAGAGCCCGGCAGCGCCGGCAGAAGGAGACCGAGCTGAAAAAGTAAGCGGTGACACCAGGGTTGTCACTGTCCCCTGCCTCACCCACTGCCTAGGGGGTTGGGGGGGGCCCTCCCTCTGTCCCCCCACCCCTCGCCACTGTCTTCCTTGGGTGCAGCCAGCGGCGCGGGGCGGCTTTTGGCAGCACCAGCCCGGCGAGAAGCCATGGCCGCAGCTCTTCGGGTGAGTGGAGAACATGAGGGCTGGGTAGGGGGCACCCTGGGGTGGGGGGGGCACCCACTGGGTGCTGGGGCTCCTTCTTCCCTAAGCTTGCTCACTCCCCCCATTTCTCCCGGCAGCCGAAAGCTTCCGGAGCCAGCGCTCAGCAGTGAGCTCTGGCAGCGAAGCTGATGAGCGCTCCGAGCCCCTGCCCCCAAGGTAAGCACCGGGGTGGGGGGGGGCAGGACGCCTGGGTTCCCCCGCCTCCCCAGGGCACGCTGGGCCCCACCCCAGGCACCCCTTAAACCGCCCCCCCACACACACTTTGGGCAGGGGCAGGAGGGTGAGCCGTACCCGGAGACCCCTGAGTGCCTCGTCCTCCAACGGCCCCGGCACGGTGAGTGGCTGCCCAGACTCCTGGGACCCCCCCTCTCTTTTTGAGGTCCCCCCCCTGTACCCCCAAAGCAGGGTGACCGTGGTGGCGGGGGAGACACACATTGGTGCCACCCCTCTGCCTCCCTCTACCCCCAGGTCCCTCGCCCGGCTGCTGGCCACAAACCACCCACAGGCAGCGCTGCTGGCAAGTGCCCTGGTAAAGGTGAGCTGCCCCCTGCCCCTGCATTTTTGGGGTGCTCCCCCTGCCAATTCAGGCTTTTTTTACCCCATTTTCCTCTGCCACCCCTGCAGAGAACCGCTATGAGGAGCCCTCGGCCGACCTGGCCGAGATTGACGCCCGGCTGCAGGCGCTGCAGGAGTACATGGACAGCTTGGACACCCGCACGTGACCCCCCCAGGAGCCCCGGACTACCCCCTGGGGACCCCCAGACCGCCCCTGGGGAACCTCACCCCCCCCCCCCCCCCGTGCCCCCCAGGCGGCAG